TTCTGGTCCCGATTTAGCGATTTTCCCGTCAAAACTTTCACGCACACGTACACGGGACCCAAACGTCTGTGAAGGCTGACATCGCGGTCTTGGGGTGGCACTTGGCCGAGGAACCCCCTGGCAAAATTTTGGCGTTGTAGCTTGCCTGGTTGCTGAGTTGAAATACCTGGACAAACGCACGCACGCACACATGCACACGTACTGGGACCGTCACAAAATGCTTTTTTGCTAGCTGTCAGCGGTATAGCGCTGCACAAAAACATAAAGATGTGAATGCAGATGTACCTTGATGATTTCTTCCTTCTTGGAACGAACGAGGTGTAGTAAGTCGCCAAGATCGCAGTATTCGATGAGTAACATCAAGCTGTTATCAGCTTCTTCGCACACCCCCAACATGCTTACCAGATGAGGATGATATTTGAGAGATTTCATAAATTTTATCTCCTGCAATGAGCACCACATAGCTTGGATCTGACTTCAAAAAATTTGATTTTACCTGTTCACTACAGTTAATTTGTTATAAATGCACTTCATCTAAAGCTGACTACCGAAGGCAGAGTTACCTGAGCGAAATCAGAGCGAGCGATATCATCGGCGAACGCCGGAAGCACTTTGACAGCACACATGCAGTCCTTGAATGTCCCATAAGCAATCAGCGACGGATTTACTTTGCACACTGGTGCCAGTCCTTTGATGGCGCCTTAACAAGTACTATTTGGTACTGCTAACACAACCGCTTATATTTGAAACAGTATGCTTTGATCGCTTATCGTTTCGTTTTAACGCTCTCGAGCTGTCGGTGCAGTTGCAACGTCCGCACAGCGCCGAAAATATCAGCGCAGGATACTGCCAAGGATTTGCAACGTTAGGGACAAAGTCGAGGTTCTCGGGAAAATGATGCGTCGAAAAGCACATCAACAGTATGCCGCCGCGTCGGTCCTCGTCCAAACTGCGAATGACCTAGGCAGCTGTCCAAGACGTTGCCCGCTCGGAATCCTCGAAAAACCGAGCAGCACCGCGACTCCCGTACGTAGCCACACCGTCCGCCATCGTTAA